TTTATTCAGGCATTTGTGCTCTGGTGTGCCTTAGACATGGTTTTTTAAAGAGTACTATACTTGAGATATAGTGTCAAAATAGAGAGGTTTGTATATGTTATTATAATTTTAATATTAAATAAGAAAGATAGTGATCATGTTCTACAAAACTAGCATTTCCATCAATCTTCACAGAGTCTTTTGAGATTATTTTCACATTGTACAAATAAAGGAAAATGATGCTCAACTTAAGTGGTAATCTCCATTTTACAAATAACAAAACAGGTGCTCAAAGAACTTAATACTTTAAATAAGTGGAAACTCAACCGAAGTCAGTCTCATTTCAGAAGCAGAGCTCTAAACTATTTTTGCTGTATTTCCTTTTTATTATTAGGGACTTTAATTTTTTCATTTCTGCCTACTGTTTTGCCTTCCTCTTATAAATTACCATGGTTATCTTTTCCTCTCTTATCATGATGTTATTTATATATGTTCATGTGAACTATTAAAACATTTTGATATCTTTTAATTTTATGATTGATTTTTTTAATTTCAAATTTCCTACAGTGCTTCAAATTTTAGTATTATTCCTCCAAAGATAAGTTCAGATACTATTTCCTATTTTCTGAGATTTAGTTTCGATAAATTAAACTGCAGTCTATACGCAATGTATAGGCCGAGATGGGTCTATATCAATTTTCCCTGGGGTTATTTCTGCACCATTTGTTAAAGTTTTCCTTCTTCATTGCCCTGATGATGATTACATTCCTTACCTTCTACCTCCTTTTCCTGCTTGTTAAAATCCTGTCCATTCTTCAAAGTTTATCTCAGACACCAGGGCTTCATTAAATCTTTCCTAACATCTAATTTTCATGTTCTTCCCCTCACTGGAAATAAACGCTCTCTCTTTTAATTGCCACAGCACTATATGTAGATGGTTATCTCAGACACCAGGGCTTCATTAAATCTTTCCTAACATCTAATTTTCATGGTCTTCCCCTCACTGGAAATAAACGCTCTCTCTTTTAATTGCCACAGCACTATATGTAGATGGTTCTCATAATGCATTTTTACCTTGAGCATTTTAATTGCCACAGTAAGACTGGACATTTCTAGAGAGCACAGTCTTTTTCATCATAGCATCTCCTGGAATATGTATTTTGTTATTACAGTCATGCATTGCATAACCACAGTTAGGTCAATGATGGACCTCATATACTGTGGTGGCCCCATAAGATTATAATGACTATTCCATATAGCCTAGGTGTGTAGTAAGCTATACCATCTAGGTTTGTGTAAGCACTCTCTATGATGTTTGCATAATGACAAAATCACCTAAGTATGCATTTCTCAGAATGTATCCCCATCGATAAGCAACATGTGACTATATATACATAGTAGACTCTCTGATAGATATTCGGTGTGTGTTTGTGTTTATGTTTATATACAATTGGAACTATCCACACTTCTCTGTTCTCTTCCCCTGACTATATATCTGTATCAGTTTCACACAGTTTTAATTATTAATGAGAAAGACTGATCCTTCTCATCTGTTCTTCTGCTTTTTGAAAAAATTTTTATAGACTTGTGTGTTTCTGTTTCCCTGAATGAATATAGAATACTTTTTCAAGTTCTTAAATTAAAACTTATTCGTGTATTTGTTGGAATTTAATAACAACCCGCTTTTATATATATTGTCTGATCTGGGTCCGTGGTCAGTAGGCCCATTAATTCAAATGCTCTTTTCTGTTTCTAATATGGTTTTTAATATTGTTTTTTGTATGTCAAGGGGAGTTTAAACAAATTAAATTCACTTAGATTTTATCATATACCCAAATTAAGGAGGAATGTAGTCTAGGTTGCATAACCAGTTAGATTTATATACCATCCTTTGAAATACTGCAAAGATATAAACATGGCTGACAGAATGCTCTGAAGTTGTAGTTCTTATATTTTATGTTTTTGTGGAGACAAAGAAATTTTAACACTTACTTGGAGAACCTCTAGGTTTGTAGATTTTAGGTACCTGGATTATACAATTTAAACATTATCTTATATTCACTATTTATGACCTGATACTTGATTTCTAAGAGTGTTTTATGTCTTGATTTATTAAGATTCAGGATAAATTGAATTTTTCCCTATGGTTTTATGTGAGTGGCACTGGTTTTTCTTTGTGGTTTATAATGGTGGCCTGCCAAGCCACTTGTTTATTTTTGGGTGGCTGCAGTGGGCCTTAGGGAAGGAAGTTTTGTCTTTGGCAGAAAAAGCAAAAAAGTGTTTATTCATTCTATTTGTAGTAACACTGATCCAAGAGGAGCTTTTGAGGAAAACCAGAGTGGTTAGGCTTTGAACATAAATAGTTCCCATTTGTGTCCTAACTGATAGAGAAAAGTGAAAGGTAAAGGATTAATAATATAATATAGACAATGCAAAGTTTTACAGCAGAAGTTAGAGACTGATGGTTCATCAACCAAATATAGCCCTCAGACTGTTTCATTTGACCTACTACTGAGTGTTTCTCAAACTTACTTCATTAGTTGCTAACATCAAGAATCTGTTTCTCATTGGATCACCTGCATTTTTAGCATGGGATGTTAATAGCAGTGGCACCATTTAGATAAAACATACACGTCTATTTGCCCTCGTTCGCACTTCTGTCTGCAGTGGGCCCAGTCAACCCCACAGGCATTTAACTTTGCAGCCTCTATCGTAGAGCTGAATACAAAGGAATATTAGATCTAATACTACTAATGCAGCTGAATCTTACAGGCTATGTATAGTAGGCATGAAGATTTTAGATAGGGAATGTTTGGGTGGAATATGGGGTGTGCGAGAAAGAGTAGTCGAAGGGGAATCCAGAGTTTTTGAAGCAACTGGAGATATAGAGTTGCCGTTAACTGAGATGGGGAGGCTGCATGCAGGTAGATCAGGTTTGGGGAGGTTAGATGAGGAGTTAAGTTTCAGGTATCTTTTAGAACATTTCATTGGAGATATTGAGTAGGCAATGGCTATGTGAATGTGGAGTTGGAGAGAAATGTCTAGACTGGACATAAATTTGAGATATATAGATGATAAATAAAGCCACGAGTTCTGGACATGGCAGCCTTCAAGAGTTTGAGAGAAGAGGAGGAGATTAAGAGAGGAGGTCAAGAAGGAGCATACAGTGAGGTAGGACAAAAAGGAAGGGAGTGTGGTATCCTGGAAGGCAAGTATCTTAACCTGGTTTCATCCCCAAAGCAGAGCCTCAGACAGGGGCTTTCTTTCTAACTTTTCTCTGCGAAGACAGTAACAGTATGCCTTTGGGTGGGAAGAAGAGGATGTTTATCTACCATATCCCATCCCCCACTGGTTGAGGGCTGCCCATGGTGTTTACACCTTCCCACTTTCAGGTTGGTGTATATTTCTGGATGGCTGAAGCATTCCTCCTGTAGGCATCTCTTACTTCTCTTGGGCAAAGCCCGGAGGAGAAAGTGAGCCACAGATAGTGCAGTCAAAGCAAGGTTCCTCAGCTGGTGTGAAAACATGAGGCTGGGCACAAGAGGTGTCCTCTACAGCCCACTCCCCTTGTACCCTCCATCAGGTGCTGGCCACAGTCTTTCTAATAGACAGAACTGGAGGGTTAGCGGAACAGTGTTCATCATTTTACTTGACCACCCATTCTAGATTTTCCTCACCTTCAGCTAAAACTTCAACAGGTTGGGGCTTTTTCCTGATAGAATGACCTAGACCTTTCCCAAGGGACCAGTGCCCTCAATTGCTTTATCCTTTTCATGCCATAGTTGCCGCACCTGCCTATTTAGAGTCATCACTGGGCATGGCAACACCAGTGGAATCTCCTAGGTTCTTTGTATGCTCCCTCCTGTCCCCATTGTGTAACGTGATGATTGTCAAGGTTGGTTTACTGCCCTCCCTGTCCCCGCCATATGGTAATTCCTTAGCATGCTTGTCCAAAGTAAGGAGTCCAAAATGACCTGTGATAGTTATTGCTTCAGAGTCTGCTGAACCCTTCCCATGTCTCCTGGCAGGAGCCCCTCTCTGCTCACCGCTCCCAGAATGAGAAAGTCTGATTCAGTGGAGCCTAAAGTTGCCGATTCTCCTTTCATCTGTTGGTTCTTTTTTTTAAAATTTTTATTTTTTAAATCTGTCAGAGGCAGAGCACCACATTTCAGCCTTTGGAAGACGTGTGTCAGATCATTTACCATCTTGGAAGGCAATGCCCCATCCCCTCAAGATGTTACCTAGCACTTTTATATACAGAAATTGTGTGTTTGTTAAATCCAGGACTCTTGGGTTATAGAATAAACAATTAGGGAAAGAAATTTTCAAATAAAGGTGATTGGTTTCAGTAGTCAAATGTTTCCTGTCACTATGTGAACTAAGCTTGTTTGTTATAGTGGCTATAGTTGCTCTTGGTTGCAAAGTTATAACAAACTCTTGAAGATTTCATTTTACCTAAAATTGTTTTAGGCTTGGAAATAGTAAAATCAATCCTAGAGAGGACTTTCTGCTTCACTTGAGTTTTGCCAGATGTGCTTCTGGCAAATAATAGGTTATTGACATGGAGTAAGGATTTTTGTAACTGGAGTTAAATGTTTTTAATACATTGAAACTGAATGAACCTAAACTGTGATAAAAATGTATAAATATGCCTCTTTTGATGATTTTAGGCCCCTGTTAAAAGAATACTTGCTAATTTTTCTTCCCTTATTTCTTGCTTCAGAAGCTGTGATAATTGTGTACTTTCCTTGGTACATCGTTAGTCTTTGTGTGACTTGAGTGTGACAACTAGGTTGTCTTCTTTATTGTTTTCTAGAGCTTAACATGATGCCTGACTCTTAATAGGACCTTCATAAATAGTGATTGAGTTAATCCAAGGAAATAAACATATATATGTATGTATGTATAAAACATGGATGTGATAGCATTCACAAATTTTATTATTAAAGTTAGCTTTATTAAAAGCTTGTTTAAAAGTGTAATAATGTTTTAGACTTTCTTCCTTTTTTTTCTTTAAACAGATAGAAGGAGCAGGACACAATCACCAGCACTGGCTGAAGGTAAATATGTCTTTGGGGAAAATGATTTTTCAAATATAAATGAAAAGTTCTGATTTAAATAAAAACCTACACTGGCTAAATATAATTTAAGGAAAATGTTCTATACACAATACTGAACTACTAAAAATGTTTAGGAAATACTCTATTGTTTAATTTCTGGCTTAGAATAGGAAGTAGTGGGGAAAATGTAAATTAATTAGAACTTTTTTTTTACAGCTTTCTTTCAGTTGGAGAGGTAATGTGTTTTTCTTTGTGTTCTTTTTTAAGTCATTTTAGCTATCACTAGTGTAGTTGATTAAGAAAAATCTAAACCATAATTTTAGTAGTTTAAAATATTTAATTTTTTCATTGGAAACTAGAAGGGAAGACACTTGTACACATTATCTTAAATAAGAATTCTACCTATTATTGTTTTTGGCTCTTTTTTTGAATCTTAGGAGTAAAGAATACTTAACCAAAAAAGTAGTTACTGATAAAGTGTCCTGAGTACTTAAACATATGTAATCCTGCAATTATTTTAATTATAACAAGTTAATAGGTAATTCTACCTATTATTGTTTTTGGCTCTTTTTTTGAATCTTAGGAGTAAAGAATACTTAACCAAAAAAGTAGTTACTGATAAAGGGTCCTGAGTACTTAAACATATGTAATCCTGCAATTATTTTAATTATAACAAGTTAATAGGTATTTGAAATTGTAATTTTTCTATAGGTATATTTTGTGTTTTTCAAGTGAAAATGATCATCTTAAAATCCCTTTCTGTGCTCTTCCAGGTCATAAACAGGGTATTTACATTTCAAAATTAGCCAGTCGTCTTATTACAGCTGATAGGACAGTTATCATGACGGTCCTTTAGAACTGTCATCACCTCACTTACTCTGTATGCTACAGTGCAGGGCTTCTTGATCAGGTTTTGTGCCAAGGATCTCTTTGGTAATCTGGTGAAGTCTGTTAATCCTGCCTCAGGATAATGATTCATGATTTTATGACATAAAATACATAAGATTAAAAAGGAAACCATTATATTAAAATCTTATTAACAAATATTAAAAATATAAATTTGTGATAGAGTAATATGTGTGTTTCTTGTATTAGAGAATATAAGCTTTTAGGAGCAGACTATTTGCTGTAATTTTTTTTTTTTTTTTTTNTAAGAAAAATCTAAACCATAATTTTAGTAGTTTAAAATATTTAATTTTTTCATTGGAAACTAGAAGGGAAGACACTTGTACACATTATCTTAAATAAGAATTCTACCTATTATTGTTTTTGGCTCTTTTTTTGAATCTTAGGAGTAAAGAATACTTAACCAAAAAAGTAGTTACTGATAAAGGGTCCTGAGTACTTAAACATATGTAATCCTGCAATTATTTTAATTATAACAAGTTAATAGGTATTTGAAATTGTAATTTTTCTATAGGTATATTTTGTGTTTTTCAAGTGAAAATGATCATCTTAAAATCCCTTTCTGTGCTCTTCCAGGTCATAAACAGGGTATTTACATTTCAAAATTAGCCAGTCGTCTTATTACAGCTGATAGGACAGTTATCATGACGGTCCTTTAGAACTGTCATCACCTCACTTACTCTGTATGCTACAGTGCAGGGCTTCTTGATCAGGTTTTGTGCCAAGGGTCTCTTTGGTAATCTGGTGAAGTCTGTTAATCCTGCCTCAGGATAATGATTCATGATTTTATGACATAAAATACATAAGATTAAAAAGGAAACCATTATATTAAAATCTTATTAACAAATATTAAAAATATAAATTTGTGATAGAGTAATATGTGTGTTTCTTGTATTAGAGAATATAAGCTTTTAGGAGCAGACTATTTGCTGTAATTTTTTTTTTTTTTTTTTTTACAGCTTAGAATTGTTATTAAAACAATCATCTAAATTATAACAATCCTCTGGAATACAAAATAGCCTTCCAAGGTCTGGCTTTGGCAGGAGGCGGCACTCTGGCTCCACAGACAGAAGTGCCTTTTGACATCTTCAAAAACAGATGGAACTTCCCTGGAAGCCCACAGGGCAGGTTTGGCCCCAGGGCAACTAGGAGTGGCTGTTTCCCTGCCAAGGCTGTTCCTTCCAAGGGCTGCGAGGCCCCAGCTCTGTTAGCGAGGAACACTTTGTCACCATTGCTGGTTGTGAGCCTCTGGACTTGTGGAAAAAAAGAGAAAGAAAAGAGAAACCTGTCCCCAGGTTTACAAAACATAGGCACTCAAGAAGGGTTATGCAGTGCCACAGGGTGTTTTCTAGGGGCTGGCGGGTACATGAATTATTGAGTGGATACCACTGGTCAGAGCGCCACTGTGGCTGAGGTGGGGCCTCAGTCAGGATGAATGAGGTGGCCTGTGCCCGAACAGCTATAGGCCAATAGCTCGGCCTCACGGAGTGACCTGAGCTGGGCAGTGACTTCAGGAATGGTTTCTGCCTGAGAGCCATCAGCAGCACCTGTAATGAAATAATCACGGTCAGGGCCCTGCTCTCAGTGGACTTCAGAGACTTCCTTACAACTCCCTTGTCCTAAAAATGTTCACTTTAAAAGAACACAGCCACCTTAGCCACAGGCTCAAGCCTTTGAAAACCAAGCACTTCTTTCATTCTTTCTCCTTCTACTGCTGCTCAAGACCATTCTGGGGACCACCATCCCCTCTGCCTTATTGGTCTGTGGGAAGGTGCCCAGGCTAGCTCTTTCCCCCAAGGAGAGCTGAGTGCTCCTGGCTGAGCAAGATGTTGCCAGCCCTCCCTGGTGTTTGCTGTAATTTTAAATAGTAAGTCTGCAACATTTGTAATATGAAAATACCTGTGATTTATAGTAATGACAGATTTATAGGTATTTCTAATACTGCTGTGGTTTGTTTCCTATAATATTGAATGAAGGAATTGCTAATTTTCCTATAGAGGTTAGTGAAGAAGTTCTCATCAAAATTCACAGATCACTGAATTCTCTCTTTGGACCCTGGATGAAGAATCTCTGTTAGTGAAAAGTCAGCTAGACCTTTCTTTTTCAATCATTCTTGAGTAAGTGTATTTTTTTTTAATGTTCTGTGTAACCTTAAGGAAGTAGAGTTACACATCTATTCCTTAAAAGTAACCTAATGGTGTAAGGCGGAAGTTTGTGAAATAGCTTTGAAGAACTTGTTTGCTTCTCAATAATAACAGAAACAACATATTTTGTGGAGACGGGAGTAGAAAATAAGTGTTGAGCCTTGGAGAGAGTGCCTGCTTTAAAAAAAGTCACATTCTAGTTGAAGGAACGTGAAGTAAACATGTAAAAAATATATGAATATGATGTGCCAAAAAGTTTTAGCAAGAGAAATGTCATAATTGCCATAGGAAGGATACAAATAGTAAGTGCTCTTATGCTTGTGTTCTGGAAGTACAAAAAAAAAGGTACAGGCTTGCAGAAAGTGACCAGGTGTTTTTTGCAATTCCTTTAGTAGTATGAACTATACAATGATCACGTGCCACCCTAAGCTAGGAAGAGCCTGGCGTGGTGTCCCTAAATTCCAATGCTGTCCAGTGCCTGGTACCTGACTACAAATAAGGAGAATGGCAGGTCTGTTGAAGTTTGGTTGATAACAAAAACAACATTAACATTTGTTTTGAAGGGGATATAGGGTATATGACTTTTGTTTCTGGTTTTTTTTGATATTATGGTGGTGTTGGTATTTGATTGTATGTGTCAATGTGGTCTGGCCCGATGCCATATTTTAAAGATGTTCTCAAAAGCTATACTGCTAGATCATTGGATTAAGCCCTACTTTTTTACTAATATGGTGCTTTTCCCAAGTTACCAATCTTCTCTAGTCCTCAGTTCCCGTCTTTCATAAAATTAGGGAATTGAGCCACATGGTTTCAAGTCATTTCACAAACCCTTTATTCTGGGCTCAGGTTTTCTATCCTTTCTCATCCCCTTTTACTTCCTTCTTTCCTCTTCTCCTTTCTCCCTCCTAGCAACTTTAGGTATATGATAAAAATATGCAAAGTAGTTTATTGATTTGAACTTTGGCTTATGTAAATATTTCCCATTTATATGCTATGTGAACCTTTAAAAAGCTATAATAACTAGATGGCATACTTAGTTCAAAAAAGTTTATATGATAGACACATACTGCATTTGGTCTTAGTAATAGTTTCAAATTTTTATTTAAAATTAATATACTCCATAATACTGAGAAAATAAGTTACCTCCGATTATTGTGAATCAGCCTTTTTTTTTGTAAATCAACTTTTATAGTGTTATTTAGTCAAAAGTATTGTCATTTGAAAATAGTTATGGAATATGCTTTTTAAATTTACCAAGGTGATTTGTCTCTCCAACTGGAGTAAAATAATGTTTTTAAAAATAATGTAATG